GTCCCCGGACCGCGCAGAGGTGGCCGTGAGCGTCGAGGGCAGGGAACTTATTCTGGTGCTGGAGAAAAACCAGTAAGTGTATGCCTGTCGAGACCGTGCGCCATCTTCCAGTTAAAAATGCTGCGTAGTCGCTAAGAGAGAGACAGAGAGAGGGAGAGCTGAGCTCTGGGAGGTATCCCATCCCAAACTTTCCTCTGCAACAAGCTCACTAGAAATCCTTATGCAAGGTTCTTTCTCTGAACACCCAACCCCTTCCCCGTCTACAAGACAGCGATATCAATGCTGGCCTTCTTTAGAGGCTCGTTGCAAGGAGTACAGTACGCTCATCTCAGCAGACGGGGTTGAACGCTGAAAAACTTCTCTTAGATGCGGTGCATTATTGTCAAGAGTCAAAGCACCGTGCCTGGGAAAACTGGGTTCCGCAACTTTCTTATATGCATCGTCAGGGGTCATTTCGTAGAAAAAGAGGTGCAGGAGCTCATTAGCATAACTTATTTGGATATGCCACACCCCCTGACATCACCGGAAGTGTGTCAGAAGGCAACACCCACCATTCAGGCTCCACTGGACTGTTTTGGATTGCTAGCTATTGGGAGGGGGGGAGGAACGTGCAAATCCGTCCTCTCAGAGGAGGGAGAGCTTGTACCTAAATAAAACTTGGTCTTAAGGGTGCCACAGGAATGTTTTGGACTGGGGGCCAGGGGGATGATCTGCAACGTCATACCTGGCTGCTTCTTGCTCTGACTGAGGGTTGCTGGGAGCAGGGGGTGGGGCTTGTTGCATGTGCCCACCCCCTGGGCTCTTTACTGCTGGAGCTCCACTCCTGTGCGTTCCTGCAGGAAATGACCCCCGTGCATTGTAGAAATTAAACAAATTTGTGTGCTTTCACAGCTGGAGTTTATTAGCTGTTGGTGATTTTCTGGGTTTTATGGCTGTGGTCTTGGCATTGTGGGACCTGGCGTTTCACTAGCAGCTGTGACTGGCATCCTCAGAGGTATAACACAGAAAGATGGAGTACTCTCTATGTCAAGGTGAGAAGAATAATGGTAGGCAGGCAATTTATATCTACTCAAGAAGGTGGGGTATAAATTACCTGCCTAACATTTCTCTTGTGACTGCGTCACGTCCGGGTGACGTGCTGACGCCGGGCATGTCATGTGCTTTGGGGGTGGGCTTCCCCCCGGGGCCCAATCCGCCATCGGCGGGGACAGGGCCTCTCGGGCGGGGGGACTTGGCAAGCCTACATTGGCCTGATCCAACATAGTTTCTCTTATGTTCTTATACATGGAAGACTATGTCTGGAGCAGTGATGTTCTGTATTCTTGGTACTTGGGGGGCAAGAGTGGGAGGGCTTGTGGAGTTCTGGCCCCGCTGGTGGACCTCCTGATGGCACCTGGGTTTTGACCACTGCGTGACACAGAGTGTTGGACTGGATGGTCCACTGGCCTGATCCAACATGGTTTCTCTTCTGTTCTTATAGATGGAACACTCTGTCTGAGGCAGTGATGGTCTGTCTTCTGGTGCTTTGGGGGTAAGACTGGGGGCTTCTGGAGTGCTGGACCCGCTGGTGGACCTCCTGATGGCACCTGGGTTTTGGCCACTGGGAGACACAGAGTGTTGGACTGGATGGTCCACTGGCCTGATCCAACATGGCTTCTCTTACATTCTTACATTCTTCAAATCTAGAGGGGACATGATAGCCGTGTTCAAGTATGTGAAGGGCCGTCATGTAGAAGATGGAGCAGATCTATTCTCTCTTGGTCCAGAGTGCAAGACTAGGCCTAATGGGTGGAAATGACAAGGGAGTCGTTACCGGCTAAATATCAGGAGAAACTTCCCAACTGTAAGAGTGGTTGAGCAGTGGAACAGTCTGCCTCGGGAGGTGGTGGAGGCTCCTTCGCTGGACGTTTCCAAGCGAAGGTTGGACGACCATCTTTTGGGTATGTTGTAGGGCTCTCTTTTGGCTCTGCTCCTGCAGAGTGCGGGGGTTGGACTAGATGACCTGCAAGGTCCCTTCCAACTCTAACGTTCTATGATTCTGTGATTCTAAGTCAGGTTTATCTTGAGCCCTGGCTTAGATTCTAAAGCTCTGTTCAATGTGGAGGACTCAGCCCTGGAATGTGTGGGTTAAGACTTCAGAGTCTTTTGAGCACGCAAAGAATGCTACTTCGCAACTGGCTAGCCACAACCTCAGACGGAGGGGAGGTGCAGAGGGCCCCAGAACCTCTCGTTTTGAGCCCCTGCACCTCTCGTTTTGGTAAAGGAGGTTTGCATACAGCTCATGTACTGGGAGAAGCCAGGGCGGCTGCATTTCCTTTTGAACGGAGGCAGCTTCTCCATGTATGGATAAAACTGGTGGTTGTTTTCTCCTGCCAGGATTTTGTGCAAGAATTGGGGGGGGGGACCATGGGAAATATAGGCTCTACTTCCTTTTGCATCAAGCATAAACTTACTGTATGTTTGAATACAACCACTTCCTTATCTGGCATGTGTACTGCTGTTGTGATCTGCCCTGAGCCCACTTGGGGGAGGGCAGAATATAAGCTGAAATAAATAAATAAATACATTCTTGTACAACTGTTCACATTCTGGAGAGGTAGTCCTCTGGCAATAGGTAGTTTTGGCTTAATGAGAGTGGAGATGTGTAGATGATATAAGACATACAATTGTCCATCAGGTTACAGAAGGGGAAGGAGTGATATTGTTACAGGGATAAAGAATAAAATATCTCACAGCTCTGAAAAGCACACGGAACATTAGCCACACTAGAGAGACGGAAGTCAGGCGGAGTTTCCGGGCGTGATCTCACAGGCACATCTGGGAAGCGTAGCGCTTCCGTGGCTCAACCGAGGCTTCCCGCCGAAACCGCGCTGAAAAAACGAGTACCTCGGAGGTACTAGTTTCCGGAAACTGCAGGGCAAGGGCGGGCGTCTGATCGCGTTTCCGGTGGCATCCGGCGCCCGCCCATGTCCCCTTGCAAGCAAGGGTTTCCCCCCCCCAAGTCTCCATGGATGTGCACAAGCACCCAACGGAGCATGCACATTTTTGGTGTACACGACAAAAAAAACCACCCGTTTGCCGCACCGCGCGCTTCTTTGTTGCACGCAGGATCGTCCTGTGATCAGCACCTCTCCCTTCCCACGGACCCTCCAGGGGAGGTCTGATCCTTTAACCGTGCGTTAGTTTGCCCCGGGGCAAACAGCCACGCTTCCCCCCCGCAGTTTCCTGCCCGTGTGACTGGTGCCTATGTATAGCTTAGTTGGCACATAACTGTTTTGGAAGAAGAAGAAGAAGAAGAAGAAGAAGAAGAAGAAGAAGAAGAAGAAGAAGAAGAAGAAGAAGAAGAAGAAGAAGAAGGAAGAAGGAAGAAGGAAGAAGGAAGAAGGAAGAAGAAGAGATTGAGTCTATACCCCGCCCTTCACTTGGAGTCTTAGAGCGGCTTACAAACTCCTTTCCCTTCCCCTCCCCACAAAACCGAGTACGCTGGGGGGATTTACATGTATCTCTCTGTTCAGATCGCATTTCAGCGTGGATGCCCAAAGATGCGTCATGTCGCCGCACATGCATAGCAAGCACAGTTTCACTCTGTGAATGAATTCTCACCCAAACAGATGTTACACCAGTTGGGCGGCAGCGGCTGCTGCTGGAAATGGTAGGCACGCGCTTCGCCTCTCCGTTCTGCCAGGAAGTTCTTCCTCACGTTTATCCGAAAACTCTTCTGATTTAATTTCAACCCGCCGGTTCTGGTCCGGCCTTCTGGGGCAACAGAAAACAACTCCGCGCCATCCTCTATAGGACAGCCCTTCAAGTACTTGAAGATGGTTATCGTATCACCTACGATATCCCCATCCCCACTGGAAATCATGGATGGTTGCCAGAGGAAAAACATAGAGCTGGAAGGGACCTCCAGGGTCATCTAGTCCAACCCCTCACACAGTGCAGGAAATTCACAACTACCTCCCCCCCCCTCCACTCCCCCAGTGACCCGCAGTGCTCAGAGGAAGGCAAAGAAACCTCCAGGTCTCCTGGGCCAATCTGGGCTGGAGGAAAATTCCTTCCTGACCTCAGAGCGATCGGCATTACCCAGGGCAATGCTCACCCGCCCCCATCTGTCCAAATTCGCTGTATAAGCATGACTTCCAGACGTACAACGTTGTGAAGTCTAAGCATGGACAAGCTCCACTAGGCACGACGAGAGGGGGAATTAAGCGTGCAGCTGCCATTTTTGGCAGCGGCCTTCGCGTGCTGGCCAAAGAGCTGGGACATGCAGGGGGTTTAAGCTGCAGGGAAGCTCAGATCTAAGAACTGCTGGCAGGACCTCAGAACATAGGATCACAGAAGCGTACAAAGGGGCCATGCAAGCCGTCTAGTCCAGCCCCCTGCCCGATGCAGGATCAGCCTAGAGCAGTGGTGGCGAACCTATGGCATGGGGGCCAGAGGTGGCACTCAGAGCCCTCTCTGTGGGCATGCGTGCCGTCGCCCCAGCCAGGCCCAGACCGTCGTTAAAGTGTGGAATTCTCTGCCAAATAATTTTAAGTAAATGAAAGCATTTGGGATTGCTCTCCTTACTTTGTTTGGATCATCTTAAGTTAATGTATGAGTTGTTTTCTCTAAAGTAAAACCTCAGGATTCAGGTTAAATTGCCGTGTTGGCACTTTGCAATAAATAAGTGGGTTTTGGGTTGCAGTTTGGGCACTCATTCTCTAAAAGGTTCGCCATCACTGGCCTAGAGCATCCCCGACAAGTGTTTGTCCAGCCGCTGCTTCAAGACTGCCAGGGAGGGGGAGCTCCCCGCCTCCCCAGGCAGCCGATTCCACTGTGGCACCACTCTTTGTGTAAAATTCACAACTAGGGCTCCCTGACGAAGGGTTTTGGGACCTGAGCGGCACATTTACTCGAATCAGTGGCCAAACTGAATTTAAGAACCATCTCTCCTTATATATAAAATTTATAACAGAGTTTTTGTGTGGGACGTTCCCACGCCTCCCCAGCCTTTGGGTCCCTGGTCTGTTGCTCAGGATGGGGGGCCAATCCCCTCGCTGCATTGCCTCCCTCTGTTGCCTCCGTCCCGC